CGGACGTTGGTTGAGCTCTGGCTAAGCTGAACCGACCGTTGATTAGCACATTAGATCATCTCGTATGTATTTTACGCTATATAAGTAATAAATTACTATTGTTATAAAGTTATTAATAATAACAATAATAATAATAAATTAAATAAATAGAGAAGAACCAACTTCTTTGCGAAGAAATAGGAAGGTTGTGGAAGCTGAAGAAGGTGACAGTTGTGCCAATTGTGATTGGCACATTGGGAGCTGTATCCAATATCAGTTTAAGAAATACGCAGGAAAGCTGAACGTTACCATCATAGTTAAAGTAATAACAATAATAAAGATAATAATAATAATAGTAATAATGATAAAATGATAAAAATCTTTTATTGATTACAAAGCTAACTATAAAATCATATTTATAATTAATTTCTATTCAGTCGAAGCAATATTTACAATTCCTTTCGATTAAAAAACTATTTTAAAAGGTAAACGTATTCTAACTAAAAAAGGAAATAAAATAGCGTTCTCAATGTCTTATCGAATATTTGAGAGTCCTTTTTCAATATCTAATAATAATAATAATAATAATATTGGCTCTGGAGACAGGGGTATAAGTACCCAACCCTCATTTAAGTGGGACCCATGCCAAACAACTAGAGCTACGTGTCGGTGTAAGAATTTCATCAAGCGATAACGAGCGTTGCAGTTCTGGCTGGAAAAATTTCGAGATGTAAGACGTCAAATTTTTATATTATTTGCACTTTAGAAAGCAAGTTCGACTTCCTTCAGTCAGTGTTGGCACTTCAGTGTTGAGAAGGCGATATTGCCATTCATGTGCTCTAATGTTTTAGGGGTCGACGGAAATTAAAAACCAACGTGTTTGAATGACCGTTCAGTCTTGTTGCTTGCGAAAACTTATACGATCGGAGTAGTAGAGCTAAACTAGACCAAATGGAAATAATATAGTTGCTTATTTCTTTTTCCAAGTGTTACACAAGGAGAAGGCAATACTGAAATCAAATGACATTTTTGGACCCCTTTAACACATCTCAAAATTAACGCTTTTTAAAAGGTTTCTAACCTCAATCTCGAAAGGTTATCTGTCATGATTTATAGAGCTCATGATAGCAACGCTGTGCTATTTATATGCTAAGAGTATTAGTTTTTAAAACCATAAAAAGTGCCACGTTCTTAGCGTTCAGCCAATTACGTTGTTTTAAGTCAATATCCCCTGATTTAGATAATCGTTGAGCTTTCACACTGAGGTCTGATTCGTTTTTATAGGAATGAATTAAGGTCAGAATTTTTTCGCAGTATTTCTTATCTTCTTCTGTTACGCTACTAATAAATTAAGGTGGCGTGCTTTTTACTGACGTTTAAAACAAGGAAGAACTTACGCATTTAGGGTAACTCACAAACGACAGTAACAGCAAAAGAAGAATCGTCGAAAACATGACTCCTCAAGGGGTCAAAAAAGGTTCAAAACTGAAAGAATAAATAACATTTTGGAGTTATTTTCTTGTCAAGTCCTTCACAAACGCATACTTTATCAGTACTCTGAAAAATTTCATTTTGTATGCAAAATCAATGGGGCTTTAAAGCGGGTATCCAGGAAACTCAAAAACAGTGCGCTTCGTTTTTTGGAAAGACGTAACAACGTTAGAAAGTGGGTACAGCAGTATAAAAATCTGAGCCAAAGTAATTGGCTTTGCCTCCGTCCGCCACAGTTTAATCCATTTATTTACCCCTCCCAATTCTGACTAACTGGTCCCGGGATAGCTGATTTTCTAGTAAATCCACGAAAAGATCAAAGGATCACATCAAGGCGAAACTTTCCAGTTCCACTGATATAGTCACCATATCAAGCATCCGTAAGATCTAAATGAAACTCCGATGATGCTAGAGACACTTACCACTGTTTGGTGTGTAAATTCCCGATCAGCTGCTTTGCAGAAATGCTTATGGTTGAAGAAAGCTTGAATACTCATTGTGAAATATTGGTTTGAGCTGACTCTCAGTTCTGGTTGTAGAATGTTACAGTACGACTACTATAACCGGAGCCACCTAGATAAAGTTGACCAATCAGATTACAGGAAAATAACAATGCATTCCGAGAAAGTTAGTTGTCAATCATAATCGATCTCAACAGCATGAATCAAAATTAACCAATTACAACCTACAGACCTAACCTTTTGAAGCCGCTGAGAATAAGCTCGTGTTCTCTGAGAGTTCTGTTAGAGTGAATGACGCAGGCAAAAACCGTAAACGTTTCTTTAATTTTTGACATTAGGTCGTCATGTTGTTGCAATGCGCGGCAATGGTAGCGAAGAAATTGCCGGTAGGTGACAAAATAACAGCTTCTGTCAGACAAATATGTCTCCTGGTTGTTGTTATGTAAAGTCTTCAACAGAAAAACATTGTCTAGTGAAACATTTTGCTTTATTGAAAAACGTTACTTTGCCATCAATGTTTACATTTTGTGCTCTGCCCACAACCAACGTTCATGGAATGTATTGTTGTTTCCCTGTAATCTGAGTGGTCAACTTTGTCGCCCCAGTTACTGTAGTCGCACTGTAATTGGCTTATTTTTGTCAGTGGTCTCTTCAGTGATAGGAAATAATTATGGTCCCCGAGGGGTACTCAACATTTACATGAGAAAACTTGAAATTCCAGTTGGAAAATCAAATGGTGCGCGCTGTTCAATTTAGGAAGCTTCTCAGAAAATATGGGCTGTGATTTGAGGTGATGCAATTAATTTATTCTTTTCAGTATATTCATCTGATTTGGATATACTTTTGTTGCGCGCTCTAAAGCTGTTTATGCACAAGATTTGTTGTGCGTTCTAAAGCCGTCTCTGTTTATGCACAAGATTTCTACCCGAGTTACTAAATAGTAAACACCGCGGGCATGCTGCTTCTATATTTGGTTCAGAATTGTTTGATTTCTTTGGCTTTCACAGACCCTTGGAGATCCGTAAAATTTCGTGAAACCGACGTTGAATTTCTTGGTTCAAATTTACAAAGCAAAACAAACTGAAATGCCTTTAATATCAGGATTTAACTTTATCCAAAGCAAAATAACCAGCCCGGATATAGAACGGTCAAGTATTCTGGCCTTACGGTATAGATCCCTATTACAAACTCTCCTGGATATGAGTTAATGTGATTATTATTTTCTCTTCAAGCCCCATCGGATATAGGCCACCTTGTTACGCCATTGCTCCTTGCTTTCTCAGCTTAAGGAATCTGAAAGAACAACAAGGAAAATCTGATGAGAAAGCATTACATTGGTCATATGAATACGGTTTGGATGTATCTTAAGCCCCAATCATTGAGCCTCTATTAATCTTTGACAAATCATCATTCGTTACGTGCATTTTTCCGTTTTTCTTTATTTTTTAAACGCTTTTAACCTTGAATTCTTACAAGGTTATCTTTCCATTTGTCCAGATATAGGACTCACCAAAGCATAAAACTAGAGTGTTACTTCAGCGTTGCTGAGGGTATTGGTTTTAGTAAAATTATAAAACTTATTAGGTTATTTTCTTCCTACAAAGATCCTATTTGTAGCAATATTTCGTAAAATCTTGAAATGAGTCATCGCAATACTGACTGATAAATTGAGACTAGTTTTTAAATTTTATGTCTGGTTGGTTTTTCAAAAAGTTCAGGACTTTTCGCATTTGTCTAAGGAATGACTGGAGCGCCGTCAATGTACTTAATGTGCTATCTTTTACAGATATAAACAAGACGGGAACTTACGCTTTGTGGTTTGCACACGAACGTCAGCAACAGCAGGGAAAGACTCTTCGAAAACAAGTTCAAAATGTCCAAAACTTAAAGGTTTCATTCAGCAACACTGAAGTAACACTTTGGTGCTTTGGTGAACGAGCCCTATATCTGGACAGATGGACAGATAACCTTGTAAGAATTCTAGGTTAAAGATCAATACAAATAGAATTAATAGGCTTCCATCAAAACAAAAACAACAACAATTGTCATAAGAAAGTTTTTCCTAGTAGTTATCTCAGATTCCTTAAGCTTAGAAAGCAAGGAGAAATGGCGGAACGAGGCCACTTATATCCGATGGGGCTTGAAGCCAAAATGATAATTTTGATAACAGGCACATTGACTGAAAGACCCAAAATTATCAAACAATACTGAACCAATAGAGGCAGCATGCCCGCGGTGTTTACCATTTAGTAACTTGGGTAGAAATCTTGTGCACAAACAGACACGGCTTTAGAACGCACAACAAATCTTGTGCATAAACAGCTTTAAAACGCGCAACAAAGTATATCCAAATCAGATGAATATACTGAAAAGAGTAAATTGATTGCATCACCTCAAATCACAGCCATATTTTCTGAAAAGCTTCCCAAACTGAATAGCGCGCACCATTTGATTTTCCAGCCGGAATTTCAAGTTTTCTCATGTAAATGGTGAGTACCCCCGAGGACCATAATTATTTCCTGTCACTGAAGAGACCACTGACAAAAATAAGCCAATTACAATGCGACTACTGTACCCGGAGCCACTTAGACAAATTTGACCAATCAGATCATTGGAAAATAACAATACATTCCAAGAAAGTTGGTTGTGGGCCAAGCACAAAATTTAAACATTAATAGCAAAGTGAACTTTTTTCAATAAAGCAAAATGTTTCACCAGACAATGTTTTCTTTTCGAGACTTCACATACAACAACCAGGTGACATATTTGTCTGACAGAAGCTGTTATTTTGTCTTCTACAGGCAATTTCTTCGCTACCATTGCCGCGCATTGCAACAACATCACGACCTAAAGTGGAACATTAAACAAACGTTTACGGTTTTTGCCTGCGTCATTCACTCTAACAGACCTCTCAGGAAACCCGAGCTTTTTCTCAGCGGGTTCAAAAGGTTAGGTCTGTAGGTTGTAATTGGTTAATTTTGATTCATGCTGTTGATTTCGATTATGATTGACAACTAACTTTCTCGGAATGCATTGTTATTTTCCTGTAATCTGATTGGTCATCTTTATCTATAGCTAGGTGGCTCCGGTTATACTAGTCGTACTGTAACATTCTACGACCAGAACTGAGAGTCAGCTCAAACCAATATTGCACAGTGAGTATTCAAGCTTTCTTCAACCATAAGCATTTCTGCAAAGCAGCTGATCGGGAGTTTACACAGCAAACAGTGGTAAGTGAAAATGTTGGAAAAACGAAACTATCAGTGTGCACCAGTACAGTTCCAGATTTTATCAGTGTCTGCTCTAGACTATCGTCTCTAGCATCATCGGAGTTTCGCTTAGATCTTACTGATGCTTGATATGGTGACTATATCAGCGGAATTGGAAAGTTTCGCCTTGATGTGATCCTTTGATCTTTTCGTGGATTTACTAGAAAATCAGCTATCCCGGGACCAGTTAGTCAGAATTGGGAGGGGCAAATGGATGGATTAAAGTGTGGGGCGGACGGAAGCAAAGCCAACTACTTTGGCTCAGATCCACTTTCTAACGTTGTTACGTCTTTCCAAAAAAGAAGCGCACTGTTTTTTGAGTTTTCTGGATACCCGCTTTAAAGCCCCATTGATTTTGCATACAAAATGAAATTTTTCAGAGTACTGATAAAGTATGCGTTTGTGAAGGACTTGACAAGAAAATAACTCCAAAATGTTATTTATTCTTTCAGTTTTGAACCTTTTTTGACCCACTGAGGAGTCATGTTTTCGACGATTCTTCTTTTGCTGTTGCTGTCGTTTGTGAGTTACCCTAAATGCGTAAGNAAGAAAATAACTCCAAAATGTTATTTATTCTTTCAGTTTTGAACCTTTTTTGACCCACTGAGGAGTCATGTTTTCGACGATTCTTCTTTTGCTGTTGCTGTCGTTTGTGAGTTACCCTAAATGCGTAAGTTCTTCCTTGTTTTAAACGTCAGTAAAAAGCACACCACCTTAATTTATTAGTAGCATAACAGAAGAAGATAAGAAATATTGCGAAAAAATTCTGACCTTAATTCATTCCTATAAGAACGAATCAGACCTCAATGTGAAACCTCAACGATGATCTAAATCAAGGGATATTGACTTAAAACGACGTTATTGGCTGGACGCAAAGAACTTGGCACTTTTTATGGTTTTAAAAACTAATACTCTTAGCATATAAATCAGCACAGCGTTGCTATCATGAGCTCTACACATCATGGCAGATAACCTTTCGAGATTGAGGTTAAAAACCTTTTAAAAAGCTTTAATTTTGAGATGTGTTAAAAGGGTCCAAAAATGTCATTTGATTTCAGTATTGCCTTCTCCTTGTGTAACACTTGGAAAAAGAAATAAGGGCCTATATTATTTCCATTTGGCCTAGTTTAGCGCTACTACTCCGATCGTATAAGTTTTCGCTAGCAACAAGACTGAACGGTCATTCAAACACGTTGGTTTTTAATCCTGCTAAATTTCCGTCGACCCCTAAAACATTAAAACACATGAACAACAATATCGCCTTCTCAACACTGCAGTGCCAACACTGACTGAAGGAAGTCGAACTTGCTCTTTAAAGTGCAAACAATATAAAAATTCGGCGTCTTACATCTCTCAATTTTTCCAGCCAGAGCTGCAACGCTCCTTATCGCATGATGAAATTCGTACACCGAAGCGTACCTCTAGTTGTTTGGCTTGGGTCCCACTAATGAGGGTTGGGCACTTATACGCTTGTCTCCAGAGCCAATATTATTATTATTAGTATTATTATTATTATTGTTATCATTATTATTATTATTATTATTATTATTATTATTAGATGCTGAAAAAGGATTCGCAAATATTCGATAAGACATTGAGAACGCTATTTTTATCCTTTTTTAGTTAGAATACGTTTACCTTTGAAAATATTTTTTTTTAATTGAAAGGAATTGTAAATATTGCTTCGACTGAATTGGTTTTTGGAAGCGTAATTAATTATAAATAGGATTTTATAGTTAGATTAGTAATCAATAAAAGATTATTATTATTATTATTTTATTATTATTATTACTATCATCATTATTATCTCTATTATTGTTATACTTCAAGTATGATGGTAACGTTCAGCTTTCCCGTGTGTTTCTCAAACTGATATTGGATACAGCTCCCAATCACAATTGGCACAACTGTCACCTTCTTCAGCTTCCACAACCTTCCTATTTATTTGCAAAGAAGTTTGTTCTTCTATTTAATTTATTATAATTACTTTATAACAATAGCAATTTATTACTTATATAGCGCAAAATACATACGAAGATGATCTAATGCGCTAATCAACAGTCGGCTCTGCCTAGCCAGAGCTCAACCAACGTCCGCAGGCAAACAATACCCTCAAGGGCTCCGTGGGGAGGAAGGGCGGGGGGATGTATTCTCAAAGAGTAGAGGTCAGTGTTGGTGGTGGTATCCCACTGGTGGTATTCCCATCCGTTGGATTTTATCTGAAATTACTTTCCCGGTGAATTGCTGTGGGTTAGTCCATTTAATGCCTCATCCGTACCTTGTTTATTCCAGTTTGTCAATGGAGAAGTGGCTTCTTTTCAAACTGGCAAGTTCAACATGTCAGATAGTTTTCAAGACTGGAGCTGCAGCAGTGCCTGTTCGCCACCTCAACACTGTCATTTACCACGCTGTACAAAAGTTCCTTTCCCGGAAACATTTACTGGATCAGGAAAGGCAAGTCCACCTATTACCTGGGTTCGAACCGAGGGGGATTAGATTCGAGTCGGTGTGTTGAGGGAATATCAACGCAAGACCCACAAAGTCAGAAAGAACAAAACGACCTTTAAAGTTTGCTGTTTATCGGGCCAATATTGAACACGATAAAGCCATTAAAACTTGCAAAAAATGTGTTACACTTGTGCAGACGTAATTTAAATGTTTTGAAAAACTGTGTCTCGTTCATTATTAATCCGTGAGGAACCAAACAGAACAATTTTGTAAAGCTCAGTGTGCTCTTTCGGACTATGTGAGTCTTGCGTTGATAATCCCATGATATATGGACTCATAGCCAGTCTATCTTAGTCTGAAACAAGTCTATTAAATGCTTACATGCCAAGAACGTCGTTACTGTCACGTATTATTTAAATCAAGATGAAGTCAAGTAGTTTGATTAAAAACACAAACTAGACAATCCCTTCCATTTCTGCATTTCATAATGGCGGAAAATCATGGGTAATAAAATTTGGGTTATCTATGCATCCGAGAAAATTGGGTAATCCCTTAACCGTACGCCCCTACACTACAAAAAAACCAAATTGACAGCTGTCAAATCAGGGTATCCACTAATCAGTATCACATGACCATATCGTGGGCTTAGGGAGCTCAACTCATCCAGGTCACGCGTCTTTTTAGTTTTACCTAGACCAGTTATTACTAACTGAAATTGATCACAGGCTCAAGTTACATATTAGCATTTTTTTTTTGGACACGAATTTCCTCGCAAGGTGGTTTTTTCAAGTCTAAGCCATTACCGTTGTAATGTATGAAGAGAAGCTTCTCTTTTAGCTCTGGCCAAATTAAGATATTATACTTTTTTTGTTCAATCCCTTTAGGTCAGTGTGCACGTTTCACTAAGCCATGGTGAAAAGTTTTCTCGTGTCCACTCACCTGCTGCATTGTGGGTTCATTCTGTCAGTACACATGGATTTGAGGCATGCGCACTTGAGGCAGGTGATGGATCAAATGGAACTGGAATCATAAACTGGATGGCTTTCCAAGATCAACCACAAGTTACATCTGGTAGCGTAGCGTTTGGTGGAATGTGGACAACAGAAACCAAATGTGACATACTAACCTTTAAACAGGCAAGGCGACATTGATTTCTCACCCAGGAACGCTTGATCGACTGTCTAGAAATTGTGTTTCTTTGTTACCCTAACGACAGCAACAGCAAAAGAAGAATCGTCGAAAACATGACTCCTCAGTGGGTCAAAAAAGGTTCAAAACTGAAAGAATAAATAACATTTTGGAGTTATTTTCTTGTCAAGTCCTTCACAAACGCATACTTTGTCAGTACTCTGAAAAATTTCATTTTGTATGCAAAATCAATGGGGCTTTAAAGCGGGTATCCAGGAAACTCAAAAACAGTGCGCTTCTTTTTTTGGAAAGACGTAACAACGTTAGAAAGTTGGGACAGCAGTATAAAAATCTGAGCCAAAGTAATTGGCTTTGCCTCCGTCCGCCCCACAGTTTAATCCATTTATTTACCCCTCCCAATTCTGACTAACTGGTCCCGGGATAGCTGATTTTCTAGTAAATCCACGAAAAGATCAAAGGATCACATCAGAGGCGAAACTTTCCAATTCCGATGATATAGTCACCATATCAAGCATCAGTAAGATCTAAACGAAACTCCGACGATGCTAGAGACACTTACCACTGTTTGCTGTGTAAATTCCCGATCAGCTGCTTGGAAAAAATGCTTATGGTTGAAGAAAGCTTGAATACTCACTGTGCAATATTGGTTTGAGCTGACTCTCGGTTCTGGTTGTAGAATGTTACAGTACGACTACTATAACCGGAGCCACCTAGATAAAGTTGATCAATCAGATTACAGGAAAATAACAATGCATTCCGAGAAAGTTAGTTGTCAATCATAATCGAACTCAACAGCATGAATCAAAATTAACCAATTACAACCTACAGACCTAACCTTTTGAAGCCGCTAAGAAAAGGCTCGTGTTTTCTGAGAGTTCTGTTAGAGTGAATGACGCAGGCAAAAACCGTAAACGTTTCTTTAATTTTTGACATTAGGTCGTGATGTTGTTGCAATGCGCGGCAATGGTAGCGAAGAAATTGCCGGTAGGTGACAAAATAACAGCTTCTGTCAGACAAATATGTCTCTTGGTTGTTGTATGGAAAGTCTTGAACAGAAAAACATTGTCTAGTGAAACATTTTGCTTTATTGAAAAACGTTACTTTGCCATCAATGTTTACATTTTGTGCTCTGCCCACAACCAACGTTCATGGAATGTATTGTTATTTCTCTGTAATCTGAGTGGTCAACTTTGTCGCCCCGGTTACAGTAATCGCACTGTAATTGGCATATTTTTGTCAGTGGTCTCTTCAGTGATAGGAAATAATTATGGTCCTCGAGGGGTACTCAACATTTACATGAGAAAACTTGAAATTCCGGTTGGAAAATCAAATGGTGCGCGCTATTCAGTTTGGGAAGTTTTTCAGAAAATATAGGCTGTGTTTTGAGGTGATGCAATTAATTTACTCTTTTCAGTATATTCATCTGATTTGGATATACTTTGTTGCGCGTTCTAAAGCTGTTTATGCACAAGATTTGTTGTGCGTTCTAAAGCCGTTTCTGTTCATGCACAAGATTTCTACCCGAGTTACTAAATGGTAAACACCGCGGGCATGCTGCTTCTATATTTGGTTCAGAATTGTTTGATTTCTTTGGCTTTCACAGACCCTTGGAGATGCGTAAAATTTCGTGAAACCGACGTTGAATTTCTTGGTTCAAATTTACAAAGTAAAACAAACTGAAATGCCTTTAATATCAGGATTTAACTTTATCCAAAGCAAAATAACCAGCCCGGATATAGAACGGTCAAGTATTCTGGCCTTACGGTATAGATCCCTATTACAAACTCTCCTGGATATGAATTGGATATAGGCCACCTTGTTACGCCATTGCTCCTCGCTTTCTCAGCTTAAGGAATCTGAAAGAACAACAAGGAAAATCTGATGAGAAAGTATTACATTGGTCATATGAATAAGGTTTGGATGTATCTTAAGCCCCAATCATTGAGCATCTATTAATCTTTGTCAAAGCATCATTCGTTACGTGCATTTTTCCTTTTTTCTTTCTCTTTTAAACGCTTTTAACCTTGAATTCCTACAGGTTATCTGCCCATCTGTCCAGATATAGGGCTCACCAAAGCACCAAAGTGTTACTTCAGTGTTGCTAAGGGTATTGGTTTTACTAAAATTATAAAACGTATTAGGTTATAATTTTCCAACAAAGATCCTATTTGTAGCAATATTTCGTAAAATCTTGAAATGAATCGTCGCAATAGTGACTGATAAATTGAGACTGGTTTTTAAATTTTATGTATGGTTGGTTTTTCAAAAAGTTCAGGACTTTTCGCGCTTGTCTACGGAATGACTGGAGCGCCGTCAATGTACTTAATGTGCTATCTTTTACAGATATAAACAAGACGGGAACTTACGCTTTGTGGATTGCACACGAACGTCAGCAACAGCAGGGAAAGACTCTTCGAAAACAAGTTCAAAATGTCCAAAACTTAAAGGTTTAATTCAGCAACACTGAAGTATCACTTTGGTGCTTTGGTGAACGAGCCCTATATCTGGACAGATGGACAGATAACCTTGTAAGAATTCTAGGTTAAAGACCAATACAAATAGAATTACTAGGCTTCCATCAAAACAAAAACAACAACAATTGTCATAACAAAGTTTTTCCTTGTAGTTCTATCAGATTCCTTAAGCTTAGAAAGCAAGGAGAAATGGCGGAACGAGGTGACCTATATCCGATGGGGCTTGAAGCCAAAATGATAATTTTGATAACATGCACATTGACTGAAAGAGCCAAAATTATCAAACAATACTGAACCAATAGAGGCAGCATGCACGTAGTGTTTACCATTTAGTGATCCGGGTAGAAATCTTGTGCATAAACAGCTTTAGAACGCGCAACAAAGTATATCCAAATTAGATGAATATACTGACAAGAGTAAATTAATTGCATCATCTCAAATCACAGCCCATATTTTCTTGATTTTCCAACCGGAATTTCAAGTTTTCTCATGTAAATGGTGAGTACCCCCCGAGGACCATAATTATTTCCTGTCACTGAAGAGACCACTGACAAAAATAAGCCAATTACAGTGCGACTACTGTAACCGTGGCGACAAAGTTGACCACTTAGATTACGGGAAAATAACAATACATTCCATGAACGTTGGTTGTGGGCAGAGCACAAAATGTAAACATTGATGGCAAAGTAACGTTTTTCAATAAAGCAAAATGTTTAACTAGACAATGGTTTTCTGTTCAAGACTTTACATAAAACAACCTGGAGACGTATTTGTCTGACAGAAGCTGTTATTTTGTTATCTACCGGCAATTTCTTCGCTACCATTGCCGCGCATTGCAACAACATCACGACCTAACGTCAAAAATTAAACAAACGTTTACGGTTTTTGCCTGCGTCATTCACTCTAACAGAACTCTCAGAAAACACGAGCTTATTCTCAGCGGCTTTCAAAGGTTAGGTCTGTATGCTGTCGATTTCGATTATGATTGACAACTAACTTTCTCGGAATGCATTGTTATTTTCCTGTAGTCTGATTGGTCAACTTTATCTAGGTGACCCCGGTTATAGTAGTCGTACTGTAATATTCTACAACCAGAACTGAGAGTCAGCTCAAACCAATATTGCACAGTGAGTATTCAAGCTTTCTTCAACGATAAGCATATCTGCAAAGCAGCTGATTGGGAATTTACACAGCGAACAGTGGTAAGTGAAAATGTTGGAAAAAAGAAACTATCAGTATGCACCAGTACAGTTCCAGCTTTTATCAGTGTCTGCTCTAGGCTATCGTCTCTAGCATCATCGGAGTTTCGTTTAGATCTTACTGATGTTTGATATGGTGACTATATCAGTGGAACTGGAAAGTTTCGCCTTCATGTGATCCTTTGATCTTTTCGTGGATTTACTAGAAAATCAGCTATCCGGGGAC